CAACAAACTGATCGAAACTGTGAACGCCAAGAAATCCGGACTCCACCTGCCAAAGATCATTGGGGAATATAAACCTGGATATGCGTATGGAAATGTCAAGACGCACAAGCCTGGAAACCCACTTCGGCCAATCATTAGCCAGATACCCACACCCACGTACAGATTGGCAAAGCGACTCAACGGCCTGCTGACTCCTTATGTTCCTTGCGCCTTCAGCCTGAAGTCTCCAAAGGAATTTGTGGACTTACTGCGGGGCGCACGGGCCACAGGGATAAGAGCCTCGTTGGACGTAGAATCGCTGTTTACCAACGTACCTGTGGACGAGACAATCGGAATGATAGCCGACAGAGTGTATCGTGATCCAGCCTGTACTCCTCTTGACATGCCAGAAAGTATTCTGAGGAAACTACTCCAAGCTTGTACTAAAGAGGCACCCTTCTTGAGCCCGGATGGGCATATGTATAAGCAAGTAGATGGGGTCGCTATGGGTTCTCCCCTAGGTGTCCTGTTTGCAAACTTCTACATGGGTACCATCGAGCAAAAAGTCTTAGTCGACATGAACTTGAAACCGGCCATATACTGCAGGTATGTTGACGACATTTTTACACAGGTACCTGATGTCAGACATCTGCAGGAGCTGAAGGAGGCATTTGAGCAGAGTTCCGTGCTGCGTTTCACTTACGAGACGGAAAAGGATGGGAAGCTGCCTTTTCTAGATGTAACAGTCATGGAAAAGGGCGGAGGTTTCCACACTGCAGTCTACACAAAGGAAACAAACATAGGAATGTGCCTAAATGCCAACAGCGACTGCCCTGACAGGTACAAGAGGAGTGTTGTTAACGCATACGTCGACCGTGCTCTCAGCCACAGCTCAGAATGGAAGCAAGTCGACGAAGAACTCTGTAGGGTAAGGCAGGTTCTAGTCAATAACGGCTTCTCCAATGGTTTCATCGAAGACATCATAAGAAGGAAAGTGAAAAGCCATGCAACCTCTGAAGAGACAACTAACACAACACCTATACCCCCTATTAGACTATTTTACAGGAACTTCTTTTCCACAGCTCATAAAACAGAGGAAAGGGTCCTGAAAGATATTGTTAATAGAAACGTTATCCCTACAGACAAAAATCAGAGGATACAACTGACGATTTACTATAAAACCAGAAAAACGGCCAGCCTACTCATGAGAAACTCTCCAGACACGAAACAGAACGCTTTAAAAGAGACTAACGTCGTCTATGCCTTCAAATGCCCACTTGGGGACTGTAAGCTCCAAAAAACCCAGTATATAGGCAAGACAACAACATCTCTTTCTAGGCGTTTAACGATGCATAAACAACAGGGCTCCATTAAGGAACATATAATCTCTTCCCATAACCAAACCATCGCCAGAGAAATCCTAGTAAACAACACAGAAATCATCGATAGATACAGCGATAGCAGGCGGCTTGACGTTTGCGAGGCACTACACATCAAGAAGTCAACACCAGCAATCAACAGCCAATTATTGCACAACTATATTCTACCCACCTCAAGACTCCGCTCCAATATAGAAGCATCAAGAAATATGGACCAATAGGCTTTCTACAAACACTTCTATTCAATATCCATTGTTTCGTGTTCTGTCTTGTGTTGATACTTTTAATACCCTATTAATATCCTCTAATGCCACATCATCCTTCCCACCTCACTCAAATGTAATGCCACATCACCCTTCCCACCTCACTCAAAAGTAGATATAAAATCAGGGAAATGCAAGTTCTAATCAGTTGTGTATTTGTGAAGTCTTTGAAAATGTAATAAGTTTTACGAAACGCGCCCGTGTCGCGTCAGACTAGAAATAAAAATGAATTTTGGAGAAGTGATTTTTGATTTACCTCCAACAGTGAAGCATAATGTACGAAAGATTGAGAAAATTCGTGTTAGAATTATTAATCTTACTTTTTCGGTCATATTTAATAAAATATATATATATATATATATATATATATATATATATATATATATATATATATATATATATATATATATATATATATATATATATATATATATATATATATATATATATATATATATATATATGAATGAAAACTCACACCCCAGAAGTGACTCGAACCCATACTCCCAGGAGCAACGCAACTGGTAACTACAGGGCGCCTTAATCCACTTGACCATCACGGCCGTCAAAAGGAAGTGATAGCCGAGGCTATTTGAGCCACTTCCCCGACGGCAACTCGGATGGTAATCTTGGGCATAGCATTTCACCAAATCACCTTATTCTTTGGGGCACACGTGAGGAACACAAATGCGAACAAGCCTGAATGGTCCCCAGGACTATATGCGAATGAAAACTCACACCCCAGAAGTGACTCGAACCCATACTCCCAGGAGCAACGCAACTGGTAACTACAGGGCGCCTTAATTTGTTTTTTGTTTGAATGAGTTTTCATTCGCATATAGTCCTGGGGACCATTCAGGCTTGTTCGCATTTGTGTTCCTCACGTGTGCCCCAAAGAATGAGGTGATTTGGTGAAATTCTATGCCCAAGATTACCATCCGAGTTGCCGTCGGGGAAGTGGCTCAAATAGCCTCAGCTATCACTTCCTTTTGACGGTCGTGATGGTCAAGTGGATTAAGGCGCCCTGTAGTTACCAGTTGCGTTGCTCCTGGGAGTATGGGTTCGAGTCACTTCTGGGGTGTGAGTTTTCATTCGCATATAGTCCTGGGGACCATTCAGGCTTGTTCGCATATATATATATATATATATATATATATATATATATATATATATGGATATATATGGATTATATATATATATATTTATATATATATATATATATATAAATCGGGTGAGGTGGGTATGAAAACATAAGAATGAAAGTAACTGCAGAAGGCCTGTTGGCCAATACTTTCTCTTGCTGCTTCTATGTTGGTTCGGGATCTTGAAGTGGGTAGAATATAGTTGTGCGTTAATTGGCTGTTGATTTCTGGTGTTGACTACTTGATGTGTAGTGCCTCGCTGATGTCGAGTCTCCGGCTATCGCTGTATCTATCGATGATTTCTGTGTTGTTTGTTAAGATTTCTCTGGTGATGGTCTGGTTGTGAGAAGAAATTATATGTTCCTTGATGGAGCCCTGTTGTTTGTGCATTGTTAATCGCCTAGATAGAGACGTTGTTGTCTTGCCTATATACTGAGTTCTTTGGGGCTTACAATCCCCAAGTGGGCATATGAAGGCATAGACGACGTTGGTTTCTTTCAAGGCGTTCTGTTTGGTGTCTGGGGAGTTGTTCATGAGTAGGTTAGCCGTTCTTTTGGTCTTGTAGTAAATTGGCAATTGTATTTTCTGATTTTTGTCTGTAGGAATAATGTTCCTATTAATAATATCTATCAGGACACTTTCCTCCGTTTTATTAGCCGTCGAAAAGAAGTTCCAGTAAAACAGTCTAATGGGGGTACAGGTGTTGTGTTAGTTGACTTTTCAGAGGTTGCATGGCATTTCACCTTTCTTTTTATGACATCTTCAATCTAACCGTTAGAGAAGCCATTGTTGACTAGGACCTGCCTTACCCTACAGAGTTGTTCATCGACTTGCTTCCATCCTGAGCTGTGACTGAGAGCCCAGTCAACGTAAGCGTAGACAACACTCCTCTTGTACCTGTCTGGGCAGTCACTATTGGCATTGAGGCACATTCCTGTTTGTTTCTTTCGTGTAGACTGCAGTGTGGAAGCCTCCGTTCCTTTTCGTGACTGTTACATCTAAAAAGAGCAGCTTCTCATCATTCTCCACCTTATAAGTGAAACTTAACACAGAATTCTGCTCGAATACCTTCTTCAGCTGCTGCAGACGTCTGACATCAGGTACCTGCATAAAAAGGTCGTCAACATACCTGCAGTATATAATAATAATAATAATTTTTATTTAGGTAAGGTACATACATACAATAATTTTTACAAAGATTGGTTGACTTATAGGTAGAGCTAGTACATACAATGCCTAAAGTCACTATTACGCAAAGCGTTTCGGGCATAAATATGGCGGGTTTCAAGTCCATGTCAACCAAGACCTTCTTCCCTATGGTACCCACGTAAAGGTTCAGACGGTGACGACATTTTTATGAAGGTACCTGATGTCAAACATCTGCAGCAGCTGAAGGAGGCATTTGAACAGAATTCTGTGTTAAGTTTCACTTACAAGGTGGAGAATGATAGGAATCTGCCCTATAATAACCATGAAAGTGTTAAACATCTCCCTGAAAGATGACCAAGAGCGGCCAGTTTCTTGTTCCAGCGCCTCAGTGTTGCAGTCCAGAGAGGAAATGCGTGCTGTATCTTGGGCACGCACCTAACCTCCGAAGAGCTGGATGGGGTCTTCGAACAGTGATTGTTATATGTGTGTGTGTGTGTATATTTTCTGTAAACTGTAGCAATGTAACTTAAAAAATGGAGATGGTAAGAGAATATATTTAAGTGTTCAGTGAGAATCCACAAGGTCTTCCCTGAATACTTTTTATTCTTTTCTCCGAGGCTATGGGTCCCTCGAAGCTACACTGTGTAATCTTTCATATAGAATATGGTAGCAACACATTGTTGTGTATACCTAAGCATGTTAATAAAAAAAAGTTTGTGTTTTGTCCGGATGGAAATTAAATTGAAATTGAAATAAGTTTATTGAGGTAAAATACACACAAAGGGATGAGGTAGCTCAAGCTATTCTCACCCCGTTCAGTACATCGTGTTAATACATACATAGACACACATCACAAGCAATAAACGTATTACCGAACATTCTGAGAGATGAACATGGATGGAGGACCATGGCAGCTCCCGGCGCCAGCAGTCAGGGTCTGGTCGTTTCGGACACGAGACTATTGGGCGAAACTCGTTTTCTGTTTATTAAAATCATGTATATTGCTGTGCTAGGCTGTATTAACTTAGATTAAACAGTAGGTCGCTCAGTTGGGTTAGGTTAAGGTAGGTAAAGTTCAAAATCGGTTGGCGAATGGTGCCTTGCTTGGCGAATGGTACGAGGTGCCTTGCTTGGCAACAGTCACCACTACTCAGCAGTTGTCAGCACGGTCTCCTCCTCCTACCATTATCCTTAAGATAACCTTGTACAACAAGTCAGTATTTATCTATATCTACCTTCACTCAGGTACGAATGTCATCAAATCCGTTACATTTTGCAGCTACAATTGTCATAAGACTATAATGAGCAGTTGATGTAGGTATCAATATCTGATTTCTAAAATCATATATTGTACACCTCGTCCTGCCCTGGTGACGCTCTATTACTCTCTCATCTATCCTTATCTCAATTATGGTATCTGTGCTTGGGGTTCTTCTACCCAAAATCATCTACGTCCTCTAATTACCTGACATAATTCAGCTATTATAATACATGTGAAACTCTGGCCCCAGGCAGGACTCTTCCCCCCTTATATCTTTGAATATGTTAGATATTAAGTCACTTCACAACCTCTCAAGTGTACGCTATATAGTATATAAAACTCTGAACTGTAATACCAATCCTGACATTAAACACTTCCTAAAAGGTCGTAACAGAACCCATGGGCACCGCACTAGAGACAAATACTTATTTGATATTCCAAGAGTGCGACTTAACTAAACTAGAAATGCTCTACAAATCAAGTGACCCAGAATGTGGAATGACCTTCCCAATCATGTCCAAAGCTGTACTTCTCTCAACCAGTTTTAAGTGAAAAACTAAGTACTGTGCTACCTAATAAACTAACCTACCTTACCTCCTAAATGTCAACCTATGTCTTGCTATTATCAAATATTAATGATTAGTGACTAGCAAAACTGCTAATAACTTTATAAAACTGCTAATATCTGCCATGTACAGTTGCCCGAAATCCTTTGCATAATAATGGCTTCGTAAATTGTGAAACTCCAGTCCCTACAATTTGTACAGTACTCCTTTGTTAATGTACACATTCTTTTGAATAAATTTGTTCAGACAGTATTGTATTGTATTTTAAACTTAAGAAAATTGTAGTCCATTTGTTTATTTACAGTATTCAAAATTACTATCTGCTCCTCAGTTCCAATTGCTGCTGTTAATTCAACATGTAATTATTGTCATTCTTTTCTTCTATTTCAATTCAATTTATATTTTTGATCTCAATTAGTCTTAAGTCTTAGTTTTTAAGTATTTTCCCACATCTTGCCCGAAACGCTGCACATATTAGTGGTTTAGGCATACGTAGTATATACAGTACTAGCTCTATCTAGAAATCCAACATTCCGCTTGTAAATCACTATGTATGTATGTACTTTTAGCTAAACAACAAATTTAAATTGAATTTTTAATTTAATTTAATTTTAATTTAATATCGTTTGGAAGAAAATATTTCCGATTTGGTAGAAATAAACTTTCAGACAAAAAATGTATCCACATATAGTAACATTTTAGTTGATAAACCAATAAGAAATTGTTTTACCTGGCAAATATCTATTCAAGAAAATGCTATTTAGCCATGCCATAGTAGAAGTTATGGCTTGAGGAATCAGGTTTTGTAGTCCTAGAAATGTTACAATGTAGAGTGTATATACTGTACAGTACTGTATAGTACAATATACATTATATTATAGTACAGTACAGTATGTTACACTTTGAAAGCATGATTTAAATTTTATGTAAGATTTATTTATTTATTTATTTTTCGTTACAGTGTGTGATGATAAACGTTAATTGAATGTTTCGATTAGCCGCCTCCTTGTTGCCAGAGAAGGCTGTCCAGAGTCTCACTGCTGCTTATTTTCGAGGTATTTTTCCATCAACTTTTAAAAGTGTTAATCTAATGATTTTTTTACTTGCCCCATATAGGCCTTTATAGATAGAATGTACTGTATATATTATAGTACTGTACTGTATTTAAAAGTAGATATAAAATTGAAAGAAATTACTGCACCACACTGTAATTTACAGATTACCATTCAACATAAAAGGTGTTCAGAGCTGTGGAAGTTGTTTCTCATGCATTATTATAGTCTTAATTTCTTAACCTTACAGTATGATATTATTGGTTAATTGGATGCAAATTATGTATACACCTATAATTTATATATAATTTTCAAAATCTGGAAGACATCAAGAAGCAAGTACAGTACAAGAATCCATTCACTGTGCACTAAAGAGGCGTTCCAAGTAAGCTACTTGGACAACTCTGGCAAGGGGGGACCTCACTAAGCATACAAGGCTTCTTTTTTGTGAGTTATATATGGTACAAATATACAAAAACAATATCATTGTGTATTCCAATGACCTACCTTACTAGAAGGTAATCTTGTGGCCAGCTTTCCAATTGATTAGTCACTTATATGAGAATATTATTAACCACATCAGATTTGTAGGTGACATTTAAGATCTATGGTAAAGTAGGAAGCAAATATGATACTGAGGCCTTACAGAGCTATATGAACTTAACAAATAGTGGAAAGACTGGCAGATGCTTTTTAATATTGAAAATGCAATACCTTGCATGCAGGGCATAACAATGCACATTACAACTATCAAATCAATAACACTACCATACCGCAGATTGGCGTAAAGAACCTAGGAGCCAGAATCCACCAGTCATTGAAAGTTGCTCAACAAGTGGAAACTGCAGTAAAATAAAATAAAAAAAAACTGAACCCTAGGAATAGTCAAACTTTTGGCTTCAAGGAAGAGAAAGTAGCTTTTCAACTTCCTAAACTTCTGGTGCACCCCCATTGGGACTACTGTATCCAAGCATGGGCACCTCATCTTCAGAAAGACATAGCTGTTTTGATGGAAGGTTAATACAGAGCAACAAAAATCATCCCAGAATTAAGTAGACTGTCATACCATTAATGGTTGAGGGCCACAGGACTGATACTTCAAGCCAGACATGATGGCGCTAATCTTATCAAAATTACTAAAATACTGTAATGAACAAATTGGAGGACATTAGTCCAGAGCCTTTATTTAAAAGGTTAAATGTAACACATACTGTACAAGGGGCAACAGCTATAAGCTCAACAAGTCACATTGTAGAACAGAAATAGGAGATGCTCTTTCATCCATAAGAGTTGTAGGGTTGTAAAACCATGGAACTGCCTACGCACTGAAGCTGTAAATGCTAAGACATCACTGCAGTTTAAAAATCCAGTTCGAAAAAATCCACTGGAAAATGAGGGAGGGAGGGGGACCTTTAACAAGTTGCCGGTTTCCTTTTCTTGTCTGCGTTACTAGATGTGGTTTTCAGGTAAATTCAGATAATATTTGTACTGTACCAACAAATAAAATATTTACTTTTCAGCTAACGCCTGGTACAACATCGGTGGGGGTAAATTTCACAGTTCTCAAACCTCTATTGATCACGCCACAATGAAAATACAAATTTTGCCAGCACTCTCTGATAACTACATGTACCTGGTATGTAGAAATTATTATAGTTTCATTTCATTTTACCCTATGATTAGTGTAACTGTAGGTATTTAATTTGCTTTATCTACTGGACAAATCCACAAGGGCCATGACAAGGGTTTGAACCTACATCCGAGAGGATCCCAGACGCTGCCTTAATCGGCTGAGCTACAAAATGGTAAAAGAATTGCAACGGGGAAATCATTCTGACCTACCACGGATCCTGCAGTCTCCCGAGTTTTAGTTTTAGACAATTTAGAGTTTTACACAATTCTCCCGTGCACCCGAGCTCTGCCAATAGGCTGTTCTACCTATTCGCCCTTACTTCATTACACACAGAAATCACAATAACATGATGCATCAAATGAACAAATCCACAAGGGCCTGTGTAGTGAAGTAAGGGCGAAGAGTTAGAACAGCCTATTGACAGAGCTCGGGTGCATGGGAAATTGTGTAAAACCCTGGTTTGTGTCTCGGAGAGACTGCAGGATCCGTGGTAGGTGTGGATGATTTCCCGGTTGCAATTCTTTTACCATGTTGTAGCTCGGTCAATTAAGGCAGCGTCTGGGATCCTCTCGGACGTAGGTTTGGACCCTCGTCACAGCCCTTGTGGATTTGTTCATTTGATGCATCACGCTATTGTGATTTCTGTGTGTAATTATCTACTGAATTTGGATACTTTATACAAAAACTTTGCAAGCACTTAAATTAAATAATCTTTGGATGTAAATAGGAGATAACATACTGTATCATCTTAATTATTTATTGGAATAGGTTCTCAAAGTATTTCATAGAAAATCTTGAGCCATGAAAATAATTTTTGGTTTGAGGTATAGTCAATGGCCCTAATTAATTTTTACCATGATGGGTCATGGCTCTACTTTCAAAAAACAAACTTTAGAGGTTGGATCCTTGGAAATAGTAGTCAAGAGAGAAACCTCAGTACTATACTGAGAGGCTTTCTGGTAAATCGGACATCATGGCGCCTGACAGCTGAGTGGACAGCACTTCGGATTCGTAGTCCTGAGGTTCCGGGTTCGATCCCTGGTGGAGGCGGAGACAAATGGGCAAAAAAGTTTTTCATCCTGATGCCCCTCTTACCTAGCAGTAAATAGGTACCTGGGAGTTAGACAGCTGCTACGGGCTGCTTCCTGGGGGGTGTAACAGAAAGGAGGCCTTGTCGAGGACCGGGCTGCGGGGACGCTAAGCCCCGAAATCATCTCCAAGATAACCTCAAGATAACCATATGATATGTTGGAATTAAACATTTTATGCATAGATTAGTGAAATTTTCTGACTACTGTATTTTATTTCCTATTGATAACAAAGCACACAAAAAGTATTAAGGAAGTGTCTTAAATTAAAATATTTGGTCAACATAAATTACTGTATTCAGCATATATAATTTTTTATTTTAATGTTTTAAATCTTCCTTTTTGCAGTTAATGGATGAAAGTAGTAAGGAAGCAGCTATTGTAGACCCTGTGGATCCCAAAACTGTGTTAGCAGCTGTTAAAGAAGCTGGAGCCACCCTTACTACAGTTCTCACCACTCACCACCACTGGTAGGCTTCAATGGCTTTACACTTGGACACACACGAGTCAGTTGATCATGCCCTAACACCTTTCCTAAAGGATTCTTTATGCCTCTACTTAGCACGGGTCTGAAGGTTATGTGAGTAGACTAGTTAACAGGAATTTTTCATGATCGTATCAACCAAGTTTTGCTGACCACCATTGTTTTGGAAATTGCAGAGGTAGGCAAGCAGGTTGCTGATCAAGACATTTTTTGCTGCTTCCACTCCTAATGGGGAAAATTAGAGGCCAATTTGGTGAGGTGTGAGAACATTACAATTGATCCTCAAATTCATACAATCATAACTTATATACTTTAAATCAACATCAATATTAACTGGGATTCTGAATTCAATAATACCCATGATATAAATTCATTAGCTAACCTCTTCCTCTCCAAAACTCTAAGCCTCTACAACCTTCATTGTCCCCTTCTTACAAAGCAAGTAACTGACAAAAGATTAAACAATCCATGGCTCACAAGTGGCATTCTCAACTCAATCAACAAGAAACATGAATATGAAAAGAAAGTTAGGATTGGCCTAGTTTCAAAGGAAGTAGCTAAAAGGTACTCATCAATGCTTACCAGTATCATAAGAAAGGCAAAACTTGCATATTATGTGAATAGATTCAATGAAGCAAAAGGCAACATGAAAAACACTTGGAAAACTATCTCTAGTATCCTAGGAACTAAACAACACTCACATAACCAAATAAAACTCTACAAGGATGGGGATATACCGTCAACTGATTTAGAAATGGCAAATGAATTTAATAGTTTCTTTTCATCGGTTGGTGCTAATCTTGCCAGTAAAATCCCACAGACTCAGACACACATTAACACATATCTCTCAGGCAGCTATCCAAACTCTCTTCTCCTTTCACCAATCAGCCCGGCAGATGTTGTGTCCATCATACACTCTCTAAAAACCAAGGCAGGGAACACCAGTGAAATTCCGTCCATTGTGTACAAGAGAGCCTCCCATGCCCTTGCCCCACCCATAGCACTACTGTTCAACAAATCTATAGAGTGTCACACCTTCCCTGATATCCTCAAAAAAGCAAGAGTAACGCCAGTCCATAAAGGAGGCAATCCGGCGGACATAAACAATTATAGACCAATATCAAATCTACCCATTCTATCAAAAATATTTGAAAAAATTATTTACAAACAGCTCTATTCCTACCTCGTAAAATTCGACATACTCAGCCCCTGCCAGTTTGGCTTCCGGTCCCAAAAGAGTACCAATGATGCAATCATTAGTCTCCTTGACATTATCTACTCAGCCCTTGACAAAAATGAGTTTCCGATTGGACTCTTCATTGACCTAAGAAAAGCCTTTGATACTGTTAATCACAACTACCTCTTACTTAAACTCCAGCATTATGGAATCCGAGGCCTTGCCCTTGACTACATCCGATCCTATCTTAGTGACAGACACCAATATGTAACCATCAATGATACAACTTCTTCCACTCTACCAATTACCGTTGGAGTGCCACAGGGCAGCATCTTAGGACCTCTTCTATTTCTTATATATATAAACGATCTGCCTAATGTCTCTAATATTCTCAAACCTATATTGTTTGCTGACGATACTACCCTTATCTACTCAAACCTCAACCCACATACACTAAATAATGTTGTGAATAATGAATTAAAAAAAGTCCACTTATGGATGTCAACGAACAAACTAACATTAAACATCGAAAAGACTTACTACATCTTATTTGGAAGCAAATCATCAAATGCAATTCAGCTACAGATAGACAACATTAACATCAGTAATAAAAATGATGGCAAGTTTCTTGGCCTATTCCTAGACAAGAGACTCAACTTCAGCACCCACATTCAACACATAACTAAGAAAGTCTCTAAGACAGTTGGTATACTCTCCAAAATCAGATATTATGTTCCTAACTCTGCTCTCCTCTCACTATATTATGCACTAATCTACCCCTATCTTAATTATGGTATCTGTGCATGGGGGTCTACCACTGCAAACCACCTTAAGCCCATCATCACACAGCAAAAATCTGCTATCAGAATAATAACTAACTCTGCTTTCAGACAACACTCGGCTCCCTTGTTTAAATCTCTAAACTTGCTAAATATTAACTCCCTCCACACATTCTCTTGTGTCAACTACATTTACAAAACCCTGTTCTTAAATGCAAACCATGCTCTGAAACTCTCCCTGGACAGATGTAATAGGACCCATTATCACCACACCAGAAATAAATATCTCTTTGATATCCCCAGGGTCAAACTTAATCTGTGTAAACACTCTATGCAAATTAAGGGACCTAGTCTATGGAACTCACTCCCATAAATATACAGTACTGTACAGTATTAAGACCCATGAACATAATTTAGGTGATGAACTGTAACTTATAAAGTTTGCAATGCGTTGGAGTCCTTGGTGCTAATACTACTGTCATATTTTCTTCCTCACTGTCATTAAATATTGCTTTAATGTGTTGTTTCGAATTAGCAGTAGCAGCAGATGGAAATCCAAAGTGATATCTTGTACCTAAGTAAGTTTATTGCCATACTTGGGTAAGGAGGCATGTTAGGCCAGTTCATCAACAATCCTTGAAGAGCAACTCACGTTAAGTACACTTAACCCATGATACAACCAGCTAATATCTGTACGTATTGACATATACATGAACATACTACTGTACATCTGTACGTGTGTGGCGGGACTGAAGAACCAAAGCTCAACGCCCGCGAGCACAACTAGGTGAGTACACACATGTAAACAGAACACAATAAATAGCAGTCAGTCCCTAATAATCTTAGAATGAAAAAAGCGGCCTGGTCCTCGACCAGGCCTCCTTTTTTGTTACACACCCCAAGTATAGAGGCCTGGAAACTTTGTGGATATCTCTGTGGTACCAGAGCCAATATTCCAAGGAGCTACTGATGCTGCTCAGAAAAGGACATTTCATTACATTAAAAGATTGATTTTTGTCATTGTATACTTTGTTTATTTACAGGGACCATGCTGGAGGAAATAAGGAACTGGTTGAGATGTTTGGAAAGCCCCTGAAAGTAGTGGGAGGCGATGATCGTATTGGCGCACTTACCCAGAAAGTCAGTCATGGAGACACTTTTAATGTAGGTTCCCTGAAGATAGAGTGCCTTTTCACACCATGCCACACTCAGGGACACATTTGCTATAATGTTACTTCTGATGACCCTGAGCACAAACCTGCAGTATTTACAGGTAGGTATGTTTTTGTGTTTCTGGGCAGGTTTCTTAATTAATGTACTTACTGTATGAGTTTTTCATTGTATAATCCAAGGATCCTTACATTACTGTATTTGCAAATTTAACATACTAAGTATATATTACAGGGGATACTCTGTTCCTTGGTGGATGTGGCAAATTTTTTGAAGGAAATGCTGTCGAGATGCATAAAGCTCTGATTGAAATACTCGGTGCTTTACCAGATCCCACAGTAAGTGTTATTTAATGTCTATTACTGTATTATTGTTTGCAGTAGTATCTCTAGTGAATCTTTGGAATTTAGTCCAATCAGAGATGATGATGGTTTATTTTCTCAGTACATGTTTCCTAAGGAAAACAGACTGCCTGAAACTGTTAATGCCAAAAAAGGTTAAGGGCCGGATTTATCATGCAGTTACTCAAGAACTTACAAAACTTTGTTCTTATCACCTTCTTGGCAGTTAGGTTGCAATTTAACAAACTGTTTATAAACACTGATCTTTTTAAGAACAGTGAAGCCAAGACACCTCCAGAGCACTCATAACTTCATAAATGCCATTAAAGTCAAGTTTTCCCGACTACACAACTGGAAACTCAGAATGCGGTACCTTCCTCAGCAGATCCCATCATGCCAACAATATATATACTTTGTGTGTTTGTAACTCGCAATAAATAGGTATTTTATGGAAATAAATAAATATTAGCATAGCAAGTTTTATATAAATACGTAATATGTCAATATTAACTGCTATTCTTTTAAACTAAGAGAAGCCATTAGTCAATGTGTTTTTTGTAACAAAAATAGTTCACCCATAATTAAAGTTGTTAAGTATTTTAGTAATTAGAGGCCTATATATAAAATTATCCATGGCAAATTAAAATGGCCAACGAATTTGAATTAGGAAGTCTCGCTTAACTTTTTTAATAATTGCAGCATTCAAATACTTTTTATGCTTGAAATCATTTACCAATATGTGTAAATAATATAAATGCCAAGTAATAAAGACAAAATCTTTACCTAACCTCACCTAGACCAATTTATTGGAGTGCAGTGCAAATTTTAATGTATAATACTCTCAGCTATACTGTATATATTATTTAAAGTACATTGATGTACTTAAAATAATTAATGTTTTTTAGATCTTATATTTACCAATAATACTGTATTTATACCTTGGCAATATTATAAACATTTGGAAGCCTGAAATTACTAATTTAATAAACAAATTACCAGAACCATCTTTAATTCAGTACATGCAAATTTGGAGCCACAGTGCAAGCATAAGATTAATGTGTAACTAATTTGCATTGTTTTGTTTCAGTATGTTTATTGTGGACATGAGTATGCCTTACAAAATCTCATGTTTGGCTTGCATGTAGAACCAAACAATACTGCAGTGTCTGAGAAAATTGCTTGGGTTCAGAAGCGACGTGATGAAGGGTTACCTTCTGTCCCTTCTACTATAGGTAATTATAACTGTGAAGTATTATAGTACCAATGTTTCCCAACCATATGTAATAATGATGAAAGAACGTACATATATGTAGAAGAAACTAGAAGTGGAGAGAATACTTTGAGAATTTGCTAAATTGATGAGAGAAGTGAAATGTGAACATAACTTTGGAAGATATCTTTGGAATAAGCAAGTGCATCTGTGCAGAAGCTAGAATGTTGGAAAGCTGAAGGTGTACATGGAAAAGACATAACAGAAAACCTGTTGGTTTACGACATGGTAATCTGATAATAGAGAGATACTGTTTACAATAAATTATATATAATTATTTCTATAAGGTGAAAATGTCAAGACAATATGATTAAGCTCTATAATGATATATGGAGCAGCGGATCTCCTCACCCTCTTGCTCATACTGCCAGCTGGAAAAACTTTTAAGACTGTAGCACCATGCTACAGAGTCAAACATCCTGGAAGCTTGGCAGGAAAGGGAATATGAGTCTTGTCTTACTATTATTAAATATTAATAGTGCTAAGAATAGTCACTGCTGTTACTAAAATGAGATACACTAGTTTAATCTCTACCATTACTACCAGCTCTCTCTCGTCACATGAGCCATATGATTTAAATTTCTCACATTTTAATATTCAACAAAAATTGTGTGGACAATTTATGAGAAGTGATAGGGAAAAGGCCTAGCTGCTAGAAGTTTGTGAAGAGTACACACCCAGTCTTACAGGAGTTGGGTGTTGCTATGAACAGTTGCATGGAATGGGGTTGTAATGGTTCTCCATAAATACTGTACTTAACATCCCTCACTTCTTGTCCTGCTAACATTTCACATCAAATATCATTCTGTGTCCATAAGTACATATACTCATCATCAGTCTATATGTACAACTTTAATATATTATTGACATGCCACATTGACCTTGTCATTACAACCCTGCCCCCTTGGAGGGTCCCACTTACAAAGTTTTACAAGGCCTTCACCCACATGGTCAACACCTTTTTCTTTGAACACTATTAGCATAGTAACATTAGTGACGATAACAAATTGCATTTGTATACAGTATTAAGGTAATCATGAAATGATAGCAGGATTTTTTCATGGCTCAAGTTAAACTCTACTAATTCCATATAGAGCTCCATATTAGCATCATGAGTGCAAAACCAAGACAGTAATACTGTATTTTAAATCTATATATGATCACTGCATTACCCCCATGAATCAACACATAACCACATTTTAAAGATTAAAATGAATATTATACATTGAGATGTATATCATGTCTTGAAAATCTGAAGCCCTTCAAATTTCAGGTGAGGAGAAGCAGATCAATCCCTTCATGCGGGTAACAGAAGCTACAGTCCAGCAACATGCAAAAACATCAGATGCAGTAGCAACCATGGCTGCCATTAGAGCGGAGAAGGACAACTGGAAGGCACCCAAGCTTTAGATACAGTATGAAGAAATGTAACTTATCAGTTGGCAATAAACTGGGTTTTTAATGTGAAAAAGATTTTGTTAATGAAGTACAGTATCTATAACGGTGATAATCATAAGTACTTTGAGGAATGTCAAAATCTACTGTATTACTCCACTGCCACTTGACTTCAAAGGGCCTCAACCCTTGCAATGTCTGTCATCAGAAAAGTAATATCTAAGACTTTCCCAAGCTTATGATATTTGATTTTCATTAATGATATAAATTTAAACACTGTAGTGGTACATGGTACTAAAAAAAATATCTTGGTTAATATGTGGTTGTATAGTAAAGTCATATTTGTATTTAATTTTATTTTATTTTCTATTCTACTACAAGTGCATATTTTATCAGCTTTTGGGATATAGTATGGAGCAGGTACCCGAAGCAACTCTACTTGTTGTTGTGTATAATTTTGAATATTCCTTGTCTGAGTTTGTAGGATGGATTTTAGGCAAAATAATTTCAAATTCAAGTTCAGACTTACACAAAATTGCTTTGAGCCATGGACAGACTAGACCCTACATTGATATTATTAACAAAGGTTCTGCTAGCCATCTACAAAGTTTCAAGCAGTATACAAAGGTATTTTGGAAGGTACAGTATTTCATTTCTGTATATAATTCAATTAAGTCTATTCTGTATGTAGTAATTTGAAAATATGCACAAGTCCATTGCTCAGGGAAATATATGATAAAACTCTTTAGTATCTAACTACAAGTAGTAGTTTAATTAATAAAGTTTGAATAATAGTCATGCAAAACTTGTTTAGTGTGCATGGTTGATATACATCAACAAAGGGCCATAAAAAAAGATAATAAACCATTACATAATTCACAGTACTTCACTTCCCACTGAGCACACGTTAAATGTAGAAAAATCAAAATTTCAGCGTAGACTTTCCTAGAGATTCACGTTTCTTTATATCTTGTCTGCAATGAGAAGCCAAAGTGTGGTGAAATCAAATTAGCCTCAAATTTTGCATGTATGTCAAATGGGAGGTCAATGCTGAATATTCCAAGACTGGTGGTTTACCGTTAAAGAATCTACAAAGATCTTGTTTAATGCTTTCTTTACCCATTTTGAAGAGGACTTTATCCTACCAAGGGTCAAAGTGAAGCCCCCCGCGCAAAAAAAAAAAAAGCTTTTATAGTAAGCAAACCACCCGCTTCTTCCAGTTGCATTAATTACAATCTGCCTTTTTTTTTGTACATTAAGTGGGATATTTCTTAGTTCTCTTATTACAGTTCTAAAGGGTTTTCTTTTTCCAAACAATAAAAAATGAAGTTTGGCAAAAAATTTAAAATGGCAGAAGTAACTCGACATAATGCCATACATATCCCAACTGTTATTTTTGTATTCTGATGCAAAAACATGTTATCCACACACTTAAAAAAATCCGATAACTTTTCATTAGTGTCATGCATAATATAGTATTGCATCTGTTCTGTAGAGAACTAGTCTGAACATTTTAATACCAAATTTAGTTATATTCCAAATATAACTATAAATTTAATCCAATTATAAAAAAAAATCCAGAAGGCCAAGCAGCCTGGAGAGCCCATGTTTGGTTTGGCCTTTCCACGCATTCCTAACTAAAGTATTAATACAGTACTGTGGTCGAAGTTCACAAAGTACGGGACTAGGGTCTGCACAATGTATTGAAGGCAATACCAACACTTAAATTTTCTACATAAAGGCCCAGTTGTGAAAGAACAAAAGGTTCCTGTGCTAAGACAAGCCCACATGATTTAAAGCATGAAGACCATGGGTGAAAGTCCAGTTTACAAAATTGCACATCATTTCTAGGCAAGCTTCCTTTATAACTACAGAGCAATGAGGCAATCTACTAGTCTTCAATCCCTTTGCATACTGTGGTAGTAAACCTCCAATATTGTCCATTTATGCTCTTAGTATACCAGTATTTAAGATGGAAATTCAGGCGATTGTTACCTCAAATGAGTATTCAGACTGATCTTGTCATGGGTTCCTAAGGTCCCTCTATAGAAGCCCATTGTAGATACAATGCCTTTGATGTCACTTATTGGCATACACAGTGATGGAGTTTAATATCCCACAACAGGCTGCTGGTCTTCCCAGTTATGTGCCTTGATAATTTGAAAGTGGTTCAAATTCTGCTGACTAGGAAAGTTATTGGAAGCAACTACTGTAATCAGAAGGCCCATTTACTATAACTTTCATGCAGAGTGATGCAATTTTCATGCACCAACTTTTGTTATTCGAGGTAGACTGCCTTCAAGGCTATGGAACATTGAACCTAACCAGAGTGATCAATGTCCAGCACCAGTTGTCTAACCATAAATTATTTTTGCCGGTTCTCTACAAGACGGCCAATGCTATGCATAGGAACCGACTTATGGATGCTCCATAATAGTTCTTTATTAATACTCTTTTCTGCCTTTTTAATCATTTGAAAAAATGGGGGGGGGGGGGGCCTTATTGGTAAGGGTCATTTACATTGTCATTTGCTCCTATGGCCCTCCTGCCACTTATGATAAGTGGAGAACTTATTGAGCAAGGTTACATTTGTCCCTGTAAAATTCAGAGATATTTCAGTTTCCCCAGGCATGACATTTTACACAGGTGTCAAGAGGTATCAAAAAACAATGGGCAAGGCTAGTTAGATTTTATACAAGTAATAAAAAACTTAAAGCAAAAGGACTTCAAATAAAAGATATTTAGGTAGAACATTTGCAATTATTTTGTCCCAAATTGGTAACCAATGGCAATACGGTAATCTATGTAATTCTGCAAGAGGAGAGTAATCACAACAGGCCCTCAAGTGCAGTTAGTTACATTTCCACCCAGGGTCTAACATGCTTATGTGGCAACAACCCATTTAGAGAAGTTTCACATAGTTATAATGCACCTGCAAAGATTTGATACGTGTTGCCCATGAAAAATTATTTTCTAGCGCTTGCCAGTAGCCATGCTATTAGTCTAATAAATTACCCCATCTCCATCCAGTTTGAAATTTCCATAGTGACTACACAAACAGCAAGGGAATGGGGTGTAAGACTGAAGAAGGTTTTGAACATGCTCCATAATAGTTATTTATTAACTCTTTACAATAGTAGGTTATATTTAAAATAAAATTCCACTTCCATGAAACTATTAAATTTATTACACGAGTTATAAATAGTTTATTATTTGGCGTTACCTGCATAACCATAAACATAACTTACTATATTTTAAGCTAGATGTAAAGAGACCATAAAGGTAACTAAATAAATCCAGTAATGAAACCTTTGACATGTTAAGGCAGCTAAACATTCGTGTTTAATTTCCCTCAATTCTCGCTACTGAAGTATTCCTTGCTGCCAGTAGGGTCTGCCTTCATAGTTTTTGCTCCAGGCTTCCACCCAGCTGGACAAACTGCAAGTAAACATTTTAAGGTTTAAAATTCCTGTAATTAGTTACAATAACAATTACAATATTTACAATTTAAAATTAGTTACAATAGTTAAACTATTGACATGGTATTTTAACTACAGTATTGTATTGCAGAAGGAAGTACTGTACAGCAGTTCAAAATACTGCAGGAATAAAAGCTGCACATTACTACTAATAGGCCCAAGTTTGTGTAGGCCATTGCCTCCAGGGTGTGACCATGATGAGAGAAGCACAAGTGCTAATCTATACCAAAGACATGAGTGGGTTTAAGTCTAGTACCAAGTTTCTAGGAAAGTAATGTCAAGGACACTTCAATTTTGCACATGTAATGCAGACTATTTTGGTTCCGAGGTAAAATCAGAAGCCAGTATCTGGGCTTTGGTTGTATGACAAGAAATTTATAGCAAGTTATGGAAGTTAACCCCAAGAACTAAACTAGGTACATGGCTGCAGTAGTCAAGTGGACATGGGTCGGAAATAAATGGAAATGTCAATTTACAAAATACAGAGCAACTAGAAAAATTCTATTCCCCCCACCCCCTTTTTTACAACACATGCCGAGGATTATTTCTTACCATGGAATCCAGCTTTGTGCCTTTTGATAATTACTTTATTACCATGGAGAAGAATTTCCAGCACCAAGTAGTTTAGTGTTACCATTTTGTTTTTCAAAAACTAACCCTTATCCCACTTTTTTAACCGAATTTTGTTTCACTAGTGTCACTATGCCCATGCACTTCTAGGAGAACCCAGGAAACATCAGACTTTGCAATCTTTATAAAATTATAAGTAAGTAAGTAATTATCAAAAGGCACCAAACCGGGAAGGCTATGTAGCACCATCAAATACGCAAAATAATCAGAGGGCGCTAAATATCACCAAGGATGCCAATACGAGAACAAAAACGCATAAGGCGAACGATATCAAAAGTATCCGAGTCACCAAGAATTCTATCGAGGGACAGGTGACCGCGAGGGGCGGTCGGAAAGCAAGACATACGCTCGTCCTGGAAGTCAGGACATTCAAGAAGGACATGCACGACCGTAAGAGGGACAATGCAACTAGGACAATAAGGAGCAGGGCGGCGCTCCATCAAGTGACCATGGGTTAAGCGAGTATGGCCAATACGCAACCTCGCCAGAGCTGTTTCCCACCGCCGGTTACGGTGGAAGGAGGACTGCCACGAGGAAACACAACATTTAAGAGTACGTAGCTTGTTACCAGTAACAGACAACCAAGAAGCCTGCCAACGGGTAAGGACTGAGGAATGGATAACCGGGTAAAAGTCGGAATATGGAATGCCCTTACGAGAGATGGGACAAGAGCGGACAGCTTCCTTGGCGGCAGCATCCGCACGCTCATTTAAAGACACACCAATATGGCTGGGAACCCAACAAAACTCAACCGACTTAAATTTACTATGAACGAGAAACAGCCAATGCTGGATCTCGACAACCACTGGATGAACTGGATTAAAGGACCCGAGAGCCATGAGGGCACTACGAGAGTCAACAACAACTACAAAGGAAGACTGACAACGAGAAAGTAGGAGACGAAGAGCATAGAGAATAGCATAAAGTTCCGCTGTAAAGATGCTAGTCTCCGGAGGCAAGCGACACATATAAGTGCGATCAGGAAAAACAACAGAGTAGCCAACACCGTCCGCTGACTTAGACCCATCGGTGAAGACAGAAACGGAGCGGGAGTGAGAAGAAAAGTGCTCGAGGAAAAGGCGTTTTAGAACCGTAGGAGGGGTAAAAGCTTTAGTGATACGGGTCAAGGAAGTACAAAACCGCGGAAGAGGGACCCTCCACGGGGGCAAAGAAGGAACAACACGAGGAGAAACATCAGAAATACGAACGGAAAGAGAATCCTGCAGGCGAGATAACCGGACAGAAAGAGGGAGGTGGTGAAGAGGAACAGGAACCGCAGGAGGGGTAAAAGTTAAAGCACGACAGAGGCGAGAGGAAGGATGTTGCAAGGACCGCGCAAGATAGCGAAGACAGTAGCGATCACGGCGGTCCTGGAGAGACAGGAAGCCAGTGTCAACATACAAGCTAAGGACGGGAGTCGAACGAAAGGCACCAGAACTGAGGCGCAACCCAGTATGGTGCAAAGCATCAAGACGGCGAAGAGTAGAAGGAGAAGCAGACGAGTAAGCAGGGCAACCATAATCGAGCTTAGACAGGACGAGAGAAGAATGTAAAGCAAGGAGAGTGCGCCTATCTGCCCCCCAAGAAGTATGGGACAAGACCCGAAGGAGGGTAAGGGCCTTAGAGCACTCAACACGGAGGTAAGAGATATGGGGAGACCAAGACAAACGAGTGTCAAGGAATAACCCCAAAAGCTTCGCGGAATCTTTGTATTCAAGGGGATGACCATAAAGTGACAAAGAGGGACGAAGAACAACCCATTTCCGCGTAAATGTCATGGCACAAGTCTTAGAAGTAGAGAACTTGAAGCCATGATCAGTGGCCCAAGACGACACGGCATCAATTGCAAGTTGAAGCCGGCGTTGAAGGAAAGGCGAATCATCACCCTGACAACAAAGGGTAAGATCATCGACATAGAGAGCGGAGAAGACACCAGAAGGAAGAGAGGAAAGAAGACCATTGAGGGCAACCAGAAAAAGAGTAGTGCTCAGAACACTACCCTGGGGCACACCTTCGTATTGCTGAAAAGAGGGAGAGAGAGCGGTACCAAGGCGCACCCGAAAGGAACGACGAGAGAGGAAGCTGCGGAGAAAGAGAGGGAGATGACCACGAAGGCCAAAAGAATGAAGTTGAGATAGGATATGATAACGCCAAGTGGTGTCGTAAGCCTTTTCCAGGTCAAAAAGGACGGCAACAACGGAGGTCTTCGCAGCAAAAGCAGTACGAATATAGACCTCCAAGTTCACCAGGACATCTGTCGTGCTGCGGCACTTGCGGAAACCAAATTGAGAAGGGGAGAGGAGGTGATGGTGTTCCAGGAACCACATCAGACGAACGTTAACCATACGTTCAAAAAGTTTGCAGACACAACTTGTGAGAGCAATAGGGCGAAAGTCCTTAGGGGAAGTACCCAGAGACCCCGGTTTGCGAACAGGGAGGACAACGGCATCGAGCCAGTCCTCAGGGACTGACGACGACTCCCAGATCCGATTATACAGACTCAGTAAATACTGAGACGTGCTCGGAGGGAGATGGCGAAGCATCTCATAATGAATACCATCGGAGCCTGCCGCCGTAGAACCGCAGAGGGCCAGAGCAGAACGAAGTTCAGAGAGAGAGAAGGGATCATTATAGGGAAGCTGAAGATGAGTGCAGAAATCTAAAGGACGAGACTCAAGGACAGGTTTACGAAGAAGGAAAGATTGGGGAAGATGAAGACCAGAGCTAACAGAAGAAAAGTGGGAACCCAGTTCGGAAGCGACCTGCAACGGGTCCGCCACAAGATTATCATGGAGGTGAAGGACCGGTGAAACATCGGGAGCGAACTTACCCGCTATCTTGCGGATACGCTTCCAGATCTGGGCCAGAGGGGTTTCGGACGTAATTGTTGAGACATAAGATGCCCAACATTCACGTTTAGCCGTACGGATGGCCCTACGGGCCACCGCACTCGCTTTCCGAAAGAAAAGAAAAGAATCGGTCGTCTGCCTACGGCGGTGCCTCTTCCAGGCTGCACGCTTACAGCGGACAGCCCGAGCACAGTCCGCATTCCACCAGGGAACGCACTTCCGTGGACCCCGAGAGGAAGAGCGAGGAATAGAGCGGAGGGCAGCGTTGAAGACAGTGTCATGAAAAAGGAGGAGAGCGCGAGAGAGAGGCAGAAGGGAGAGGTCAGAGAGAGCAGCACTGAGGGTAAATAGGGTCCAGTCTGCCTTAGCAAACTGCCACCTAGGGAAAGAGACGGAAGGGCGAAAAGAGAAAAAGGAAACAAGGATAGGGAAATGATCACTTCCATGGAGGTCATCAAGAACCTGCCACGTGAAATCTAAGTAAAGAGAAGAAGAGCAGAGAGAAAGATCAAGACAAGAAAGGGTGCGAGACCGAGAGTCCAAATGAGTGGGCTCACCAGAATTCAGAAGAGACAGGGAAGAAGATAGGAGAAACGGCTCAAGGAGGCGACCCCGGGTATTCGTCAGAACGTCACCCCAAAGAGAATGACGACAATTGAAGTCACCCAGCAGGAGCACAGGCTCCGGCAAGGAGTCTAGGAGGTGTTTCAAATCAGGAAGAGAGAGCGGGACACTCGGGGGGAGATAAATGGAACAAACTGTGTACCATTTCCCCACAAAGATACGAGCAGCAGAACAATGGAGAGGCGAAGGAAAAAGTAAAGGAACAAAGGGAACATCTGCACGAATCAAGAGAGCAGAAGAATTAGAAGCCCCAGCAATGGCTGGGGGGGGGAGAGAAAGGAATAGCCACGAAAACGACCAGGACGAGCACCAAGCATTGGCTCCTGGAGACAGACACAAAGGGGCGAAAACCGCGAAATCAGAAGTTGGAGTTCGAGGAAATTGGCGTAATAACCTCGAACGTTCCATTGAAGAATGGACAACGACGGGAAGAGAAAGGACAAAAACAGAGAACAAGGAAGAAACAAAGGCGAAAGAGCAACAGAGCACGTTAAAGAATATCAGGGTCGGGATCAGGGTCAGCAAAGTCAGGGTTAGGGGGCATGGGTAAACTGAGCAAAGACGGAGGGAAGGAAACGGGAGAACAGATCAGAGGCGGGCGGGCGGGGTCCGGAGGAGGAGGAGGAAGAGGAGGAGACAACGGAGAGGAGCAGTCAAGGACAGCAGTAGGAAGAGGGGGAGTAGAAAGAGGGGAGCGCACCCCAGCAAGAGCAGCAACCGAAAGGGAAGCAGGGGCCAAAGAAACCTCCATAGCAGGAACAGGGGGCGCAACCACTGAAACGGGAGGGGAAGGAGCAACAGAGCCCGAAGTAGGAGCTAAGGAAGAAAGCGAAGCCTTCTTACCCGCCGGGGAAGAGGAAGGAGAGGAGCCAGGCTTACGCTTCTGACTTAAAGAGACAGGTGTCCCAGCAACTACGTACCGGGCAACGGATTCCAGTGTCTCAACAGGAGAAGCCGAACGAGAGCACACACGACGGCCGTTAGGAGAGCGATGGACATCCGCCTGCACCGACAGGCGGCGGGGAGAGCCGATAGATGGAGGAAGAGGATGGGAAGGAGGATCGGAGGGGGACGAGGAAGAAGACACAGGAGACATGACAGACCGGGTTGAAAGAAGGGGAACCCCAGACAGAGGACCAGGAGGGGGACCCCTCGGGAAAGAACTCAAAGGAACAGAGGAGGGGGCAGTGGGCGTATCAGGGTCCAAGGCCCGGAAACGGTTGAGAGTCTGAGGAAGGGGGGAAGGACGAGGAGAGGAAGAGCGCAACACGCGAGCATAAGAGATGTTAGTATAAGGCGGGAGCCGGCGAACCTGGCGCCTCGCCTCAGGAAAAGACAAACGCTCCCGGTGCTTCAGGTTAAGGACGGCCGCCTCAAGCTTGTAATGGACACAGGCACGGGAGAACGTAGGATGGGCCTCACCGCAGTTGAGGCAGCGAGCTTGGGGAGAAGTGCACTCCGACTTAGAGTGACCCTCACTCCCACACAAGGGACAGAGAGAGACAGTCCCAGAGCAGCGGAGGGCACCATGCCCAAACCTCCAGCACTTATTACAAAGTCGAGGAGAAGGAATATACTCCTGGACAGAGCACCTAGCACCAGCAAGAATGACAGAGGATGGAAGGGTCCTACCATCAAAGGTGATCTTCACAACGCGAAGGGGTTGACGGCGACGACCACGAGGGGGACGAGTAAACGAGTCAACCTGGAGGACAGAATGGCCTTGGGCATCAAGGATATGCCGAATATCATCGTGGCAATCCTGCAGATTCCGAACACCGGTTGCAACATGGGGTGGGAGGAGAATAGTGCCAACACTGGAATTCATCTGAACGTTCTTGGAGACCCGAACAGGGATCTCGCCAAGGCAAGATAAGGCAGCCAAGCGGGAAGCCGCATCCTGAGAAGGAGCAGCAACGACACGTGTACCGAGACGAGTGGGGTTGAAAGTAACACACGCATCCACGGAATCTACAAGATGCCGATGGAGGGAGAAATCGTCAGGAGGCGCAGAATCAAGAGGGAGGAGATCAAAGTATTTGGCCCATGAAGCAGGACCAAACAAGGCCTGATACGCATCAGCACGGGAAGGAATCGAGCGAGTGCGGTTGGGGCGCGAACGGCGGTGAGAACCCCTAGAGAGAGAGGGGTCAAAAGGCGCAGTAGTCACAACGAAAGACTTAGCCACACCAGGGGACGAAGTGGTCACCACCGGGGGCTGGAGGCTCGACCCAACCTCAGAGGAGGGAGGGGAGCTGGGGGAAGAAGTCAGGACGGTCAAAGGAGGAGCAAGGTCGGGGCCCAACGCAGCGGGAGCTACAGAGCCTGGTCTTCCAATACAGGCCGACTCGGGGGCTTGGTCGCCCACCCCACGAGCCTGAGAGGGTACAACGGAAACATTCAACGACATAGAGACGAAAAGTGACAAATTCATCCACGAATGTGCCCCCATACCCACCATGGAGCCACAATTAGAGGCAGGACACCCAACAGGAAGCTATCGCTGATCATGCCGGGGCCCCCTAGGGGTGCGTCGTGAGTATACGCCCCACAAACGCCACCTTAAGAACCGTCAGTCCGTCGAGATCGGGTTCAGCGACGAAAGGGGGATTGACAATAAAAGGTTCCCCTCACTCGAGACGTCGGGTACTACAGTTCTACGGGTGCAAGAGTATGCCTCCTCAAGCACCCGGGCGTCAAAATAGTAGAAGTCCAAAGAAAGAATCCAAAACAAGCAAAAGGTCGGCAGGAAACGACAAGCAGATAGGAGAAGAGGGGGGAGAAAAACGAAACATAAGGAAAAGGAAAAGCGATCCGGCACAATTGGAGAAGACAGCAGCAGGAATGCAAGGCCAGAAAAGGACAGAGGACTGCCCAACGGAGCATCACACTCCGGCAGCCGTCCACCAAGCCCCCTCACGACGCCAACGGGCCGGAAGGGGAGGGGGTATAAAATTATAAATTTAAAACCTACATTTTTCTAGCTACAATAGTCGGTCAGGATGCCTCCATCATGACTTGCATTATTACAGAAACACTGTTAACGTGCAGTCCCAAACAGTTCATCCTGCCACCCCCATGCACTGCATTATTTTGTGCTCTCTGAATTTTATGGCTTAGTTCTCAAAATTATAAAAATTTTGGCATGCTAAAGTGTCAGGGAGAGGCACTACAATTAACACCCATCTTACCTTCCCCATGTTCCTCAACAAACTGAAAAGCTTGCACAAGGCGCAAAGTTTCATCTACATCACGTCCCACTGGTAGATCATTTATGGTTATCTGTAAACATTAGAAAAACATTAAGCAAAATGTTTCTGCCCAATTTAATTTGGCAATTTATTACATTCTGCAAGACCTGTTCAAAGTAAATAAAATTAAAGGCAACATCAAAAAACTTAAGTTATATCTAGTCAATTTAAAATACTAGCATGGGGAAGAAATTATTCCCCAGCCCACATTGCTCTAAATTCAGTTTTATGTGCATTGGTTATTACTAAAACTTGTTACTGGCACAAGCTGCCTGTATCAAACAGCAAGCATCCATTACAGTAAATGTTTTGACAATAACTTGCCTGACGTAGATTTTGCTGGCCATCAATAATGAAAAGTCCACGGAAGGCTACGCCATCATCCTCTTTAAGGACTCCATAAGCCTTGGAAACTTCCATAGATTTGTCAGCCAAGATAGGAATGTTCATATTTCCCAGTCCACCTTCCTTGCGAGGAGTGTTAACCCTGCGGGAAAGAAATAATTCTGCACTACATGGCCCTTTAGCAGATTACCATATTAGGTACTCTATGGGGTGCCTGGGACAATTTTGTCACCAAGCCTCACCCACACCCTCCATGGCTTACTACATGGACATTTCCCCATCACCCAATTCCACACTTATCCAGTCAACCTTCAACTACTAGCACAATTCTGTTTACCACCCAGACCAAAGTTAAGGCGGTATGCCACTAGGCTGGATTATTTAACAGGTGGTACACACACACACACACACGGGAACTCTGGTGGAAGTCAAGTACCCAAATGAGCTACAGACAAGGAAGAACCTTTGTCTGCAATTAGTAAATGGAATGCACTAGGAAGTGATATGAAGAGGGCGACTCCGTACCATTTTAAATGTATACTGTATATGATAAAGAGCTCGAGACACTCGGGAACCTACACCAGGTATTTTTTTTATTTAAGTATGTAACACGAGTGATCTTCAATAATGCCAACTATACCTTCCCAATAATTGATCAAAGGCATGGGGGGGGGGGGGAAAGGAGGATTAAATCTTTGTACATTAATAGATGTTTAACATTTTATATAGTTATGGAATTTTGGCAACAGGCCCTCTACAATTTTTGTACATAAATCTATCAACAGTGCCAAGATACATACCATGCCAAGTGAGAAAAATGGGAGTCAGTAGAACACGCCACCACTTCACAACCAATATTACGAAATTCTTCTACCCTGTCCGAGAAGGCAATAATTTCTGTGGGGCAGACAAAGGTGAAGTCAAGTGGATAGAAGAACAAGACGATATATTTGCCTGCGTAGTCTTCTAGTGAAATTTCTTTGAAAGCACCATCCACAACTGCAGTGCCTTTGAAGACGGGTGCAGGCTTGCCAATAGCAGGTACTTGGTTACTCATTATTAACTTTCGCTGCAAAGCCTGTGGAATTAAAGTGTTTATAAATTAAAAATCTACACAGGCAAAATTCATTGTGCAATAAAAGTTGGTGTCAAAGGATAAATGGGAAAGCCAATTTTAATTTTAAGCTAATGTAATGCCATTAAAGAAATTTACCAAAGTAGATATTTGTACAGCCAGGGCCAGATCAACCAACAGGCCCCTCTAATACCCCCTGGTAGATAAAGGTACAGTCACATCAATGACCATTTTACCACAATGCTATTACTGTAGTCCAGAGTGCATCCTTTGAAGGGACAGATGGAAATTGCCATGTGGGCTTTAGCGAAAGCCACCCGAAGTACTGTACAGTAATAGAAGTCATCTGAGCCTCCTACCCAAATAATTTCTGGCATTGAACAAGCATGTTTGACAAGATGACTTAGATTGGTTAATGTTGGTAATTTAGGGTAGACTGAGGTAGACATTTGACAAGCAGCAGCAGTTAACCAGTTTAAACAAATTGCTGTGGTGAAGGTTGATGTAGGGTGGAAACATGGCATGCATGTAAATTTATTTTTATGCAATAAAGTAGATATATACATACACAACTAGAAGCATTTGTACTGGTTTGCATTTGTAATGGTTTAATTTGTTTGGCATTTGTAATGCATTTGTAGCATTTTTAATGGTTTAACCATTTGCAATAAGCAATTCTTCCATCTTTGCTCATCACACAAGTCATGGAAAATTTTAATTTAGAGGAACAGTTTCCAATATGTTTGAGCATTGTTTGCCACTACCAGCAATAATGTTATTCTATGCATGACAATCACCATTATAGATAGAGGCTATCCTGAGAATGCCTTCAAGACTGAAGGGGCATATGGGCATACACTGGGATAGTCTCACCTTATGAATTAATGCCATTATTTTAGCATGGTTTAGTGTTGCCTTTTCTGTTAAAGTAGCAATCCTAATTTAGGGCCTTTATTTTAACAAACACTGAAAACCTACCAAAAAATGCTAACCTAGGTGCTGTGCCCAGGAACCCATCGTCTTATTATCCAACAATAAGGAAGTCGCTACCTGGGTTGGAAACAAAGGCATACAGTGCAAAGCTACACAATGCCATGTTGGCATTGAGAGTACAGCTGCACACAACCAAAAAGACAAAGCAGGTTAATCTTATTTAAGTTACTTTGTAGCATGATTAATTTGTCTTAATTCTGAAGGGAATAATGCACACTAGAATTAATCACTAGTGGGAAGGTCTACACCATACCTCCTGCCACAGACTTTATAATTTATAGTTTCCATTGGCTTCATGTAGTTTTATATCTTACATCTGTTACTAAAACCTTAGTCAAGTTTGTACAAGTTTTAAATGAAATACAGTAGTCAAGGTCTAAAGTTTACCATCTTACTTTCACAATGGTGATGTGCAAGACATTAATCAAATAGTGACCAAATTCTGCAAACTCTACAAACCTGCGAGTTGTGCATCTTCACACCATGCTATGAGGACCAACATTTGACATGCTATAGTCTAATTATATTAATTGTAACTAAACTCAAAAAACTATCACTAAAGTGCAGATTTAACAACTGATAAACTTTAGTTCTTAAATAAGTGGTGTGGTACTTTAATAGTGGCAGTTTGTAAATTTTTGTGAAAGCCTGGAAAGATTTTTTTAAAACCCTTTACTTACTACTACAATGAATTAGGTTTATTAGAATTAATGTCACCAAAAACAGAAGTGTCATTCAAGAAAAATTAAAATTGTTTTAAGTAATGTGCAACTTTCAAGCTCCAATAATTTCAAGATGACAATTTGATAAAAAAATTGTCAAGCTATTTAAAATTACTCTTCAAATGGTGAAGTTCAAATAAACAATGCGACAGCTTAAAATAAAGCTATTTTTTTTCATATGCAAGTATCAAGACTAACATCACAGTGAGGGTGTGCAACTGCCTATTTTTTGCAGTTTTAGACCATTAAATAGAAACCAGGTATGTGACTTGCAATAAAAAAATCAGTACAATACACAGAACATCTGTAGACAAGTTACATCTTCAAACATACTTGCTCAAGACATTGAGGTTCACAAACTTGGTTCTGCCAATATGGAGATATCTCGGGCACATCAGCTTTAGAGGCTTTTATGCACCCCAAACCCATTCTGTAGGCAGCATTGGAAAAGGTACAGGTGTGCAATAGGCAAAGGTAATAAAATGCAACTGCCAAGCCAGTATAACTTCAAGGGAATTCAAAGGACAGTTTGGCTGCAAGGACTGACTAACTGTGCTCAACCACTTTGGCTATCTGGAATCTAATGCTAACCTTGCAAGAAGTGGCCTTCACTAAAAAGTGGTCCAAGTTGATAGACAATGTGCTAAAAGTTCTGTAGGTTTGGGGAACGCTAGAAAACTATTTGGATGCAGATGAAGTCAAGAATGTGGCTGAAGTGTTGACCAAACCACACTAGACGAGACTATAATGGCATAAGATGGACTGAAACACCGTCGTTTCTTCATCTTTCAGTGTGGTTTGGTCAACATTATTTGGATATTACTTTTAACAGATTATCAGTGCTTAATGCCTAGCAACTAAAAGCATCTTTCACTTTAGTGATTACATCATTCTGTTTAACCTAGATTACTATTGCAGGTTTATCTTCAAAGTCTAATTTAAAAATAAACTTCCTATATGGAAAGTTAAGAATTTTTAATGCTTCAGTGTTACATGCCACAATAAGAAAATGTGGTTCCTTTGAAATTAAAAACTTTTAGCCAGCAGTTTAAGTGCCAACATAAATCTGTAATCCCCTAAAGTACAGCAATTACAGTACAGTATACTTATCTGGACCCCTTTCCTAATTCAGTTTTTTATTTTTTAAACTAACCATATGCATTCTACACAGAATTTAATTTTTCCACCCCCCCTTGTTTACAGTAAGGTTAGTTACTTACAGAACCCTTCAATACTACAAATCTACATTATTGTGGTGGATACAAAGTTTATAGGCATTTATGGATTTACCAATATAGTAACTAAATGACATGGCTTACTGTAGTTTAATAGTATTTGAGCAAGCGGTACAAATGACTAATCTACATTGTATTGTACATTTAATATTTGAAGATCTAGTTACACAGCATTAGCTATACAATACGTACTGGTAGCAAAGTTTAGTTCATACAAAGATTTCATATTTATGTAGCTACAATTAATACTCAAATAAAAGGCCACATCTGGTGTTAAATCTCCTAATTTAGATTTCGAATACAATTTAAATTTTAAGTTTTTAGGCAAGTATCTTTAGCCATAGAACATCTCCCCCCCAAAAGAAATTTTCCCAGTAGCAGTACAGATTATTTGACTAATGAATATGGCTAGATACATAGCATAGCCATTTCTGGCCTTCAAATACCACCTTGCCATCTTTTACATCTCTGGTTCTCATGAGTGGGTATATTAACTGCCAGATTAATATACATGGTTACAGAACTGAAGAGGAATGAAAAAAATTAAAGAGGTGAAGTCTTGGCAGTTGGGAAAGCCACTTTTCAACTGTACCTCAACCTTTGTTAACACGTGGGTACAGGAACAGACTGCTTTGTTTTTTTTTTAGCAGGCCAAGAGCTCTCATCCAATTGCTCATAATAGGCTTTGCCCACGATCTTTGAACAACCAGCCAACACTTTGCCAGGCATCCAATTACTGTACTGTTGGGTTCACAGGGGGGAAAAGCTAAAAAGACTGGTGCACAAGTCAGTCCTCCCTGGCCATGATAGAAATTTAGACCACATCACTTTCTAAAGATTAACACATGATGAACGTTCCATTACACAACTAGCATTTCTAAAAGCTAGAAATCTTAATATTCTTTGATTATTAGTTTAGCAGAATAGCTGGATACAGCATCTTAACCTTTGAATAACCATTTTCAGATGGCCCAGTATGTTTCGGGTACGATGGGTATTTAAAAATCAATGCTGGATCATTACCACATCCTCCAATTATCAAGTTAAAATTAAAGTACCTCTTCCAGAGATTCTGTTCCACATTGCAAAGTACAGTATAGGCACCCCTCAAGTTGCACTATAATGCAACTTTGTGACTACTGTATATAGCAAACATAGCTACATCAAATCTACATAGAGCGGCTTTAACATTACAGTACAGTACCACATTACCCAGGGGTCTTTCCGGCAGTTCCCCTCACCCACTTTCCTTTTAAATAAAAAGTAAGTTTTACATTTATAAACCTACCCCTAGTTAAATCAATTAACAAATTTGATAAAATTTTGGTACTATAAACATTTCAGCAATTATCACAGGGTACAGTAGTTTAAGTTTTAATACAAATATTTAAAAACCATCCACCCCCTCCCACTCAAATTTGTGGCAGTTACACAATTCTTTTCAGCCACTTTAGTTTCATTAGTACCACTATCCTTACTGCACAAGTATTTTAGTGAAGTGGTTAAAACCACTTCCTTGATATGATCCATTTTTTACACTAGCTAACCTGAAAAGTTAAGGCTTCCTTCAACAATGTTAAGCACTAATTTTACGTTTAACAGTAAAATTAAGAATAGTTTTAAGCCAAGATACTATTTTAACGTCAAAATTGTCAGACTAGAGGACAAATCTTGTCGAATAGTGACCGAGGAGACCTGTAGGAGGCCATGTAGAGGCCAGGTAGAGGCCGGGCTCCAGTAGAGGCGGCAAACTTCCCGGGCGGGTTGTGTAAGAGCCGGTTATGGCCTCAGGGCTCCTGCCGCCGCCACCCACACTACACATCACCAGTAATATTGCAGAAACTCTGCCCACTTAGTGCCACCACTTGTGGTACTAGGTTAGTTACAATCACCTGGCACAACCCTTAGTTGTCCGGGGACAACGCCACCCACCCACAAAGTCCTTACCCCTAGTATCACCCTATTGCCACCGTGTCACCTCAGGATGATTACAAACTCCGTAATGTGAGTTAGTGCGAGGTGTGAGTAATGCGGGGAGAGGTGAGAGAGTGTGACTGGTAGAGACCAAGAAGGATCAATAAGGCGGGAACCCGGCGGCGGGTCCTCACCCACCCGCCACCCTCGGGTATCAACTCTAATTAATGTCAAACATCACACAATGGCCTCCCACCATAACTAACCATCTCCACCTACTAACTAATAACAAATACATTATTAAAATAAGTCAAATGAAACGTTACTATTTTTTTACCAGGAGACACTAACGTTGTGAGAGAGGAGTAGTGCGCGGACCAGCAGCCTGGGCGGGAGTGGTGGTGGGAGGCGCCGCCACCACCAGCCACAACCCCACCTTCCCTACCACCATTACCCCCACCTACCACCCCCCACTCCACCCCTCCTCCTGCCCAAAGCATGCCAAATCCCCCAATTGAATCGTCCGGCCCTAACATCCGGGAATACTGAAGAGTTTCTTAACATCTTCAAGACGAGCCCTCTCCTCCACGAGGACACCAGTCAGGGAACACTTCTTCCCTTTCATAACGGACAAATCCCCCCTAACACACCCCACCTACCAGACTACACCCCTTCCCTACCCCCACCTAGCACAACCTTCCGACCACGTATTAATTACCAACCACACTACCACGGCACTTCCTATACCCTATACCTGCAGAATGTGTAGTCACATGCTTATACATGAAGATTAGAATTTGGGATGCTAGAGAACATTGATAGCTTTGTTAAGTGTTATCTATTCATGTGTTCATCTAAATGACTTGAAAGCTTTAGCTCCCGGAATCCCGCTTGTCTAACTGCACTTTAAATTATGGTGTCTATCTCCACTTTAATTATCACATACTATTTATTTTATGCTCTAATACTAAATAAGTTAGACAGTAAACACTAATGTCTACTTATTGCCAATATAATTCGTGTGCTTAGCTCCTCCCTTTGCCCCTTGCTGCTGTACCCCTTGTCAAGCAATGTCCTTGTTTTTCATATCTATTTCCTGAGAGTGTTTTGTATATGTGATTATTTCTCCGATATTTCTTGTCCAATTACGAGAGTTTTAATTTCTTGAGTATACCTGAGGACCATTCATAGTAAGGGCAAGCTTGCATAGTGGCCTCATGCAATCTTTTCTTCTGTATTGAGCTAAAAGAAGAAGTTGTGGAAGCCACCGCCATCCACAACTTCAAAATTATATTCGACAAAGAACACGAACGTCTTTTAAAGTAAACAAACACAAAAGTTACGAAAAGATAAGTGGGCGGGCATAAAGTACCTCACTTCCCCTTAACCACAAGTTAGGTAAAAATACACACATAATGATTCATAAAGGTCTTGAACCTAGTCCGCGAGATATTGTTATTATTACTATTATCAACAACCTTCAATTAGTTTAACTGCAATACATTATCTCCGTTGTATGTGTTGCTTGACATGTCATGTATGTCAGTTCAACTTCCATCCCCGCATGACTTAATGCCTTGTTTTCATGCATGGCTCAAAGTGGGGGTAGGTGAGCTGGCACGTCTTTTGCCCCAGGAGAGGTCCTCGCCAGCACCATGCAACATAAATATGTTGAATGCAGAGCTTGTGTGTAAGTGGGCGGAAGAGAGCTTCAAGGCCGTCTAGCCTAATCAATATTATGTTGACCTACTTGTAAGGGAATGGGATAGGTAATGATACAGTTGTTCTTGTTAGTGTCCTTCACCTGCTGAACAAGAAGAGGAACTTGGCATAATGGTGAAGATGTTGTTAGTACATTGACAAGAGTGTTAAGAATACACAACAGAAACATGGGGGGCCCACGCTATAGAGATGTGCAGACTTTTGAAGTACAATGTTAGCTTGCAAAGTATAAAGTTGTGAAGTGGATCTAGTACCAGAGAGTAATGATGGCAGGGACGGCAGGGAAAGAGATACCGAGTACAAGGGGAGGGAGAGGTATTGTGAGAGGCTGTAGGCCTCTGAAGCCTCTTCTGATATGACAATTATGACGTCATAGTGGAGTTATGCATCTTGTACGCCCATGTATAAGACCCATTATATCTCGTATTTTCGTTAGGTTCGGTTAGATTAGATTAGGATAGATTAGATTTGGTTAGGTGTCGCATGTAGGATGAACAAGAAGTTTGTTTGAAAGAACATTAGTGACAGCTTCACTATATGTGCTAGGAACATATAGTGAAGGTATAGCCTACAACACACACGGTGCTAGGAACATATAGTGAAGGTATAGAATACAACACACACGGTGCTAGGAACTATAGTGTACAGATTCAGGAGCCTATTGGGCTCTATCAAATCTACATTTAAAACTGTATGGAGTCAGCCTCCACCACATCTCTGCCTAATGCATTCCATTTGTTAACTACCCTAACACTGAAAAAAGTCTTTCTAATGTCTCTGTGGCTCATGGAGCATACATACACCAGGCTGTGAACATTTATCATAGGTTTAATATTTTAAAGACGCCATTTTCTACTGTCACAAGCTATAAATAAGAGCACCGGTGTATAAATCCATTACGGGCTATTCATGCCCGTGCCTCCTCTTGTGTGTGGCTTAATCCTTTATCAATCATAAATCCAATGCAGCCCGTGGCGTAGCGGTAAGACACTCATCTGGCGTTTCGTAAGCGCTTTGGCCTGGATTCGTATCCTGGGCTGGGAAGATTTACTGGACGTCAATCTTATCCTGGCGGGTCGTATTCCTGGGAAAATTAGGATTAAGGACTCGCCCGAAACGCTATGCGTGCTAGTGGCTTTACAAGAATGTAAGAACTCTTGTATATAAATGAGAGCACCGGGGTTTAAATGAGAGCGCCAAGAGCACCTTAAAGAGGATGTAGTTGGTTTGGTTCTAAAATAAAAGATTCTGCCGATTATATGCATAGGGAGAGGCGGGTGGGGTGAGGCAGCGAGACGACCAACTGGGTGGTACTGTGTCAGGCTGGATCGAATACCAGAGTGGAGGGCACGCTGGAATACCAGAGTGGAGAGCACGCTGGAATACCAGAGTGGAGCCCACGCTGGAATATCAGAGTGAAGAGCACGCCGGAATACCAGAGTGAAAAGCACTCTGGAATCAATACGGTGGACGAGACTAATGTACTGCAATTTGTTGTGACGGAGATGTTAATATTAGCTAGATGTGTTTGGTGGTGAGACGAGGATCAGCTCCTGCAGAAACTTGCTCTCCACAAGCTCACAATGTACTTTAATACCAGGCAGTGCCACTACATCCCTCATTATTATAGTGCAAGATATATATATACACACAATTATTTGCTATGAGACAATGATTATATGACAATCATTTTGGGAAATGGGGTGACTTAAACCGGCGTTCTAGTGATTCCCAGGCACCTGCTTTAACCCATTCGGTCATGATAGGACAAAAGCTAACCAACTCGGAACTCAAATGAATTCACTTGGGGGTTCTGAATGCCTGAACTGGCGCCCAACCAGGATTTTTACACTTGGCCTGCCTGTACTCTGGCCCGTGGGTAATGGTGTTCACGCTCCTCACTGATATGCCACACCATTGTGATTTCTTTGTGATCTAAAGGAAAGCCGTAAGGGCTTTCCCGTAATACCATTACCCGTAGGCCAGAGTGTAGGCGGGCCAACCGTAAAAATCCTGGTTGGTTACCAGTTCGAGCCTTCTAAACCTCCCAGTGAATTCAGTAGAGCTCTATTGTGGCCGAGTAAGTTAAGTCAGGTGTATGTGAATTACCAGAACGCCGGTTCAAGCAACCTCATTGCCTCAAAATGATTTTCTCGTATGACTTTATGTTGGAACAACAAAATGTCACTCCAAAGTTAAAATCCAGTTTAATCCATAACATCAAAGCGCATCAGGCAAATTATTTTGGTTTATGTGACATTGTTCTTCTATCTTACTGTTATGGGTGCAGGTGGGTGTAGCCAAGAGTCAGCAGGAAGACGACGTCAATAATGGTGTCCGTCGTCATGGTGACAGAGTAGGTCAGTGGTCCGCGTATGCGTTGACCTGATTTACAAGGACAGTATATAAGTGAGTGACCTGTATGTAAGGGGATGACGTGTACGACAATGTAGGGTTGTGGGGTGATAGGGCACCACTCTTACCGGTAATTCATTTTTAATAAGTTATTTTGTCGGGGGACAGGCAGCCAGTTTATATATGCATGTTAGACTTATATCGAGGTCCCCTTCTGAGGTCGAATTACTGGTCCTCCCTAAGATGTAGGGAGGATCAATAAGGGCCCATAAGGGAGGCAGATAAGCCTCCCCTTATGTTGCCATAAGGGGCAGATAAGTCTATGATTGCTGGTGTCATAAGTGAAAGGTACGCGCCTTTGATTATTTTAACAAGCCTTCCGGCCTCAGTGCAGGAAGACTTCTTGAAATACTATGCAAATACCAAGGTCTTAGACTCAAAGTCACCTGCTCCCTTTTGTGCTGAGCATGTGACTGGTGACTGAGCATATATATATATATATATATATATATATATATATATATATATATATATATATATATATATATATATATATATATATATATATATATATATATATATATATGTCGTACCTAGTAGCCAGAACGCACTTCTATGCCTACTACGCAAGGCCCGATTTGCCTAATAACCCAAGTTTTCATGAATTAATGTTTTTCGACTACCTAACCTACCTAACCTAACCTAACCTAACTTTTTCCGCTACCTAACCTAACCTATAAAGATAAGTTAGGTTAGGTTAGGTAGGGTTGGTTAGGTTCGGTCATATATCTACGTTAATTTTAACTCCAATAAAAAAAATTCACCTCATTCGTAATGAAATGGGTAGCTTTATCATTTCATAAGAAAAAAATTAGAGAAAATATATTAATTCAAGAAAACTTTGCTTATTAGGCAAATCGGGCCTTGCATAGTAGGCATAGAAGTGAGTTCTGGCTACTAGGTACGACATATATATATATATATATATATGTCGTACCTAGTAGCCAGAACGCACTTCTCAGCCTACTATGCAAGGCCCGATTTGCCTAATAAGCCAAGTTTTCATGAATTAATGTTTTTTCGACTACCTAACCTACCTAACCTAACCTAACCTAACTTTTTCGGCTACCTAACCTAACCTAACCTAACCTATAAAGATAGGTTAGGTTAGGTTAGGTAGGGTTGGTTAGGTTCGGTCATATATCTACGTTAATTTTAACTCCAATAAAAAAAAATTGACCTCATACATAATGAAATGGGTAGCTTTATCATTTCATAAGAAAAAAAATTGAGAAAATATATTAATTCAGGAAAACTTGGCTTATTAGGCAAATCGGGCCTTGCATAATAGGCTGAGAAGTGCGT